TCATCTTTCTTCTTTCTTTCCTTCATTAGTTTTTTCCTTCCTCCTTTCTTCCCATTCTCCATTTTGTCATCCCTCCCACATCAAAGTGATTTTACTCATTGCTTTTAACATACAATCTTCATTGCTTTAATGTACTTGCAATTTCATCTTTATTATGTATATGATCCTATGAGGGCAGAGATTGTACTATATGTTCTCAGTACAGAGCATACTGCTTGGCACACTGATTACATGTGGCAAAGCTACTGTTAGGCAGACAATTCTAGGAAAACAATTCTGTAAAGCAAGAATCTGGAAACCCATATGTATTTTACATACCCTACCAAAATCTGGATTCTAAGGAGTGATGTTAACTCAGGAGGAGGGACGGGGAAGGGAGGGATGTGAGCTTCCATCTGGGATCCCATCAGCTTACTTCTGGGGATTTACATTCTCCATGATTAGTTCTTGTGTGTCATTTTCATCTGCATGAATTTCTTTTTCATAACTGGAATCTCAGAATTCAACTCTCCTTCTTCCATGGAAAAGTCCACACACTTATCTGGGAATCGTGCGGAATAATAGTATCTTATAATAATAGGAAGGACATTGGCCTGATGTCATGAACTTTGAGTTCTAGTCCCAATACGTCACTTTACGTTCTCTGTGACTTTGGTCCAGTTTTCTTAGCTGTAAAGCATATCCATTGATGTCCATGTTATAACATTATTGTTATAATTAAATAATATGATGCATCTTAACATTTTAGCACAGAACCTGGCACAACTGTAGAAACTCTTCATTTTAACAATTATTGTTTCAACTTTGTCTTATTTTCTTTGCTTGTTTAACCTTTAGATACTTACACTCTCTTTGATGTTCTTTTTGTGAAGTTTATATTCAGTAAAAACTGCCTATATTTCTGTAACTTTTTGCAAAGTAGGAATTTTAAATTGGCATTCTTAAATATTTAACAGTATCACAATTTGGAGAAGAAAATAATACTTATCTAGGAGAAAATAATCTCCATGTAACATTTTATCTGAGATGCCTTCTTTGGGAGGATAGGTGTGGTCTTTGAGATCTGCTTGACTCCACTGTAATATATCTAAGAGATCGCTGCCAGATCTTACTCCGTATGTGCCTATTAGAAACATTTGGGGAACTTTAAAAATGACCTGATTCTTTTTTTTTTCCCATTTATTTTATTGCATTTTAGGTTTTGGGGTACATGTGAAGAACATGCAAAATTGTTGCATAGGTACACACGTAGCAGTGTGATTTGCTGCCTTCCTCCTCATCA